TTCTGTATATAAACTAAATATTTAATTTATTTTTATTTGCTTTAACTATTTAAATCTTTCATGGTTTTTAGGACTCCTTTACACTGCGCAGCTTCTTGTAACAATTTACCGATGGTAAAATTTTTGATTGAACGGGGTGCCTGCGTTTTCGCGTCGACCATCAGCGACGACGAAACGCCAACAGACAAATGTGAGGAAGATGAGGAAGGCTTCGTCGGATGTTCGCAGTTCTTGATCAGCATCCAGGAAAAGATGGGCAGTTTGAATTCAGGTCTGGTGTATGCTGCTTTCGACTTCGATGCCAGCATGGATGACGAGTTGTCACTAACTGCCGGCGAAGAATTGCAAGTAATTCGGAGGGACGAAAGTCAAGACAAGGGTTGGTGGTTTGCCAGAAGTGTAGTAAGCGGCAAAGAAGGCTATGTTCCGCGGAATTATCTTTCAGTAAGTTTAATTTGTAGATTTTGGAGTCGCGGATGATTGCAGACTTGTTTTGATGCGATCGATTATTTTTAGGATATTTATTGTCTTGTTTCCCTGAACCTGATTGATGTGAACTGAACAAATTTATCTCCTATCCGTATTCAACGTTCGAAACTTTTGGAGCTTGTGTTTTCTCTGATTATTGCAGTTACTGATTCAGTCTTCTTCATAGGCATTATGACAGTTTTCCAAGGCATTGTCTTAATCCTTTTGCGATTTAAAACCTTTTCCGTTGCGTATGACCGTTAAATTGGGGCCTCCTTTCTGAGAATACTTCTTTCGAAGGCCTCTTTCAATCCAATGGCATTGAGCTGGTGTGAGTTTCTGAAAATGAATGCTAATTATTTAATCGATTTCTTGTTGTTTTATGACTAATGACTAATAGCTTTTGATTTTATTTTAGTTATATCCTCAACTTACGGAACTGAAAGCTGAGAGCAAATGCAACATTAATCAAGAAGCAGCATAAACTGTGGTCCAAATTTGTTAATGAAATATTTCATTGTTTTGAGGTTTTCATCTGTTTTTTACACTGGTGATTGTGATTGATATGCTTTTCGAATTGTCGCTTTTACTAATTTGCGGTACAAGAGTTGAAGGAAAATTTCATTTCCTTAATTAGTAAAATTAATGGTATCTGTAATGGAATGTTGTGAAGTTGTTTTGAACCGACAAGTTGTGAACTAAAATCTCCGTTGGTCAGGACTTTGTCCTCTGCACTTCTTTTCCCTTTATTGCCTGTTAGTAAAACCGTTCCTTTTGGCAAAATGCGCAGTACCTAAATTCAGCGGCAGAACCAGTGTCATTGAACTGTTGTAGCACCGTTGAGTAGACAGGTTATATTAGCGATTGATAGCCGTTAATGCTGATTCAAACAGCTTGTCAGTTCATTCACTTGCTTATTTTGTTGTGCTTATTTTGTTTATGTGATTGTGTAATATTATTATGTTGTTGAACAGTGTTTTTGATGTGTAACTACCCTGATAACCTTAGAATAATGCGATATTCGAATTGGCATGCAGTGTGAAATGAAACGTTGTTTTACTGTGATCGATGCTCGTCGGCGCACAGCAGAATACAGTTCACGCCTGCAGATTTCTGGTATGAGTTGCAACCTTTTGCAAAGGAATTTTGACATCACGTTTCTCGCGGCAGTTCTTAGAAACACATGCGGAATATAACGACGTTTGCTTAATTATTTGCGAACGCACAAACTTTAGATCAGTCGAATGCCGTTATCGCTAAAGGTTGCTGTTTGTTGACGCGATGGTTTTATCCAGACTGAACGTGACTAACAGTTTATCATTACATAGTACGATGATGCTTGCACCATTCTCTAGTTAATTAGAATTAGTTATTATTACACACGGTTAATTAGTATAATTCTGTGAAGTGCGATACAACGATATTCTGTATTTAATGATATTCCTCTGAATTGCCAGAATTACATTTAAAGGTAGTTAATAATCATCAACCAATCATTTCTCCTTGTGTACCAGAGTTATTACCATTCTTGCATATTTTCTCTCTTGAATTAATGATTTAGAAACAATTTTATCCGCAAAAGTTCCGTTATAATATTCGTGTTTGCTTCTTCTGCGTTAAATTATCCCGGTCCTGGCCGAATCGAGCTGTAGCCTGCTTAAATGGTCTCCTAGGCTTCTGGATCATATGATAACACTGCTTGAACGTGCGGAACAGTGCACAGCCGGTTTTTTTTCATAGGTAGAAGAAGTGCTTTAGTAGTTTTGCAGTAGCAGTAGAGCGTTAATAGCAATCAACGTTTCAACTTATGATACCAGATTTACTCGGCGTAATCATTCGGTTCTCATGTTTCTGGTTGCTACTAACATTGCTGTGGAACGATGGCTTGCTTAAACAATCCTGGCTGATCAATTGGCCGCAAAAAGGCGTTTGATTACACCGAGCAAATCCGGTATCAGGTAATGAGGTATAATTACCGATAGAATTTTAAATCTGTGGCAGCTACGTCGGAGCATCGTGATTATATTTGGTCTATTTATTTGCCTTGTGGCAGATTTTTTCGGAGATCAAGCGAGCTCTTGTGCAACTCAACTCAGACGTACGGTTCTGTATCCGTTCCCTAAAAGGTGCTCAAATGCCATGGAGCCGTGGTCTGCTCAAACAGTTCTTCTCAGGCGCATTGAAGCAATGAAACGGAGCACTACATGGAGTAAATTCAGTAGCAGAAATTTAAATGTATCGATTACAAGCGGATCCGGAAGAGCCTTTCTATACAGCCTTTGCTTCTCCAGATTGAGAAGTCACAGCTGCGACGGTTTGGATATGTGTTGCGAATGCCTTCAGAAAGGAAGGCTAAGCAGCTCTTCCTTGCAAATCCGACTGGCAAAAGACCCAGGGGGCGGCCAAGAAGAACTTGGTGCAAACAAATGGAAGGAGTCTGTTGCACCAGACTGCATTTGTCTTTTGCCGAAGCTCAGACTCTGGCACAGGATCGGGAACGTTAGAAGCACTGTCTGACGCGGCTGCCTCCGCGACCCGAAAAGGAGCAGCGGCGATGGAAGATGACGATGATGATGATTACAAGCGGAATTGGTAAGTTAATTTGTGAACACTACCCGAGGAAATCAGGGTTATGTATCGTCTGCTTGAAGGACACCTGTACAGTGTCAACTGTCGCATGGCTATAAGCATAGCCTAACCGATTAATATAGTACGATAACTTCGGAAAGTGATTAGTTGACAGCTTTGTGCCTCTCTT